ACTATATAAGCAACATTGCCATTGTAGTTAGAGGCCCCAATACAGAGGCAAACCTACTACATAAGCAACATTGCCATTGTAGTTAGAGGCCCCAATACAGAGGCAAACCCACTACATAAGCAACATTGCCATTGTAGTTAGAGGCCCCAATACAGAGGCAAACTCACTACATAAGCAACATTGCCATTGTAGTTAGAGGCCCCAATACAGAGGCAAACTCACTACATAAGCAACATTGCCATTGTAGTTAGAGGCCCCAATACAGAGGCAAACCTACTACATAAGCAACATTGCCATTGTAGTTAGAGGCCCCAATACAGAGGCAAACTCACTACATAAGCAACATTGCCATTGTAGTTAGAGGCCCCAATACAGAGGCAAACATTTCAATCAGTTTCCAAACCTTTTTTGCCCCAGGCCTCCCCCACCTTAGCACCTAAAAAAAAGTGTTAAGTTTCCCTCTGCCTTGTCTAACATTTCCCATGAGAATGTTCAAATTAAACACCCCCCCCCACCCCCTCATCATTATGTCTATACTATGTATCTAAATGGTGTGAAGGGATATATGTATACATACATATGCAAATATATTCTGTAGGAAAATAATTTTGTAAAACGTAGACAAAAATCCAGGACCTTGGCCTGTTATGACCTTCATGAGCATATTCTAAAACATTGTTCTGTGCTTAAGTTTGTTTGTCATACAGTACGCGCGCGACAGGCTCAGTATAAGAATACACAGTTACATGCAATCTTAAAATATGAGCCCTGAATTGACAAACAATTACTGTAATCCTGATAGCAAACTATCAGAAATGGTTTGGTCGTTGGAGGAAACAGAGACAAAAGGGTTAAAAAAGTGATTCTCTCATCTTAATCTTGAAATCACCCAACAAAAAAAGACATTCTATCAATAGAATTGAAAAAAAAAAAATTGCCACATTGTAGATCTGCCATTATAATCATCATGTTATTGTAATAACATTTTGTAAGGCCTTTAAATGACTTTATTTGGCACGCTCGATTCTGGCTCGGTGCTCCTTTTAAAATGTTTATCCTCCAAGTAGCATGACTAGGTGGCTACTTGCCGACACCAACATTTATTTCAGGTGTTTATGTAGCCAGAGCCAAGGAAGATGTCTTTAAACAGAACACTTTGTTTCTTTCACAAACAACATATCAGCAGAACACTATGTTTCTTTCACACTCAACATATCACCTGTATAAATGCAAAGCTGAAATGCAAGTGTTTTAAAATGTCTTCTTTAATCTTGCATTTTCCTCTCTAAGCCTCTCAATCTCATCCAGCAGTATTGGGTTAATGGAACACTCTGCAAAACCAGCCATCATTTGTTGCTACCAGAAAAGGAATAAAATTTTAAAAATTACAACCCCTCAAAAAATAAAATTATATCAAGAATAACCTTTCAATTATATTAAATGAACTTGAACATCCCAACATTTTCACAAGTTCACAACCATCAACATGGTCACAGCCACCCGCTGCCAGCATCAACTACCAGCCACCCGCTGCTAGCATCAACTACCGATGTCTTGAACCAATTTTGAAGTATGCTTCAGATATATCTTTTAACTGTAGCAGTTTCCCAACCTGTGCTCCAGGAATCTTAGGGGCTCGATGGGGCCTATGGGGTATACCTCTATAGAAATTGTTTCAAAATATAATATGTAAATGTAATATAATATAATATATAATAATAGAAAGCTGGTAACATCCAAACCTACTTGCAGGTGAAAGGCTTGTTTGATGACCTCGACCTGAACACACCAAAACTCTTTGTGAATGAAATCCTTCATGTCGTCCAACTCTTCTCTGATTAGATTTCTGATAAATTCAGCGTGATAAATCTCAGGGTTGATTTGGTGCGACACCGACCCTGTGTTTGCCTGCAGTGCTGGGGGAGGAAACGCCTGGACAAATGTTCACAAAAAAAATGATTTAGTGAAAAAAAATTATGTGATAAAACATTATAAAAATTAATTTTTTACAATTGTACTTGAATAAGTAGGCAAACTAGCACAGTAAAAACATGGAATCCCAATATTTTGACATGTAAAAAATCTTGTTGTGCAACAGAGAGTCTCAGTTTATAAAACTAAAAAAAAAAAAAGATTAAACATTCAGAGGTTTTACAGTAAATATATTTACTTACTTAAAGTTCTTACACAAAAAAAATTACAAAATAATTTTCATTATTATTGTTTAAACCGTTTTCTATTTATTAATATTAATTCATGCATGCAGTATGATAAGCCAGGTTTTACCACTCATTTTCAAATGGATGATTATTTTTCACTCATTTTTTAAAGTTCATTTCTTTAAAAAATTTATTTAAATTTAATCTAAAATTTTAATTCCATGAATTTAAAATATTAAATTTCTTCTTGTTTTATGCGACCCTTTTTTCTGGTTTTCCCCAACTTTGTTTGGTTTATTTGCTTCTTCTTGTGAGGGGCATGGGAAGCCAAATTGTTGAACTGAAGAATGAAGGCCTTTGGATGAACTTCATTTTTTGTAAACATTTCTAAAACTAAAATTCAGGAGATAAAACATTAAAATAATTACTGGAGAAATAAAAGGCTTCTGGTAGCCCGGGTCAAATTCGTCAACTCTAAATAAAAAGGGTTCTTTTTCTGGTTGACATGGGCAACTCTAAGTAAAAGGCTTCTGTTTCTGGCAGTCTGGCTCAACTGTAAAAAAATAACGCTAGTATTCACCTGGTTGGCAACACCTGACTGTCCCAGCATGAGTCTTATCTCAGACTTGAGGTGCTCATGATGTTCCTGAAACTGCTCATTCAGTAGACCATGAACGAGGTGTCTCAATGATGATGTAGTCGTTTCTGCTGAAGAGTTCTGCAGTAAGCGATCTGAGGCAGGCGAGGCAGAGTGGTGGAATGGTTTTTGCACTGATGAACTGTTGAGGGCTTTAAAATAAGAGTTGAACTAAAGAATGCCTGATACCACACAAAATGATTAAAATAATGGCAGGGTTTTAAGCAATGTAAAAACAGAAAATTTATAAAAGTTGATGGTTAAAATAACAGCGATTGTTGAATTTGATGGAACTGCTATTCTGCTATTGTTCTTGCCATTCTTTTGTTAGAGAACAAATTTGCACTAAATTTTTTCAAGACTTCAAAGTTCAATTGGGAATTACATCCGTCTCCACTTTAAAGTTTCTCTTATTGTTAGAACATCATGAAACTGTCCTACATTTTTTTTATTATGTGGACATTTGACAACATTTACAATGCCCTAACAGGTTTGCTCACCTCAGACACCCAGGGTTTGCTCCTCATGAAATAACTTGAATGCTAAATTTTAATCTTTAATATTTTAAATTTTTTAGGCATTCATGTTTGAGACTTTATTAAGTAGTCTATCTAATATTTCCTGTGCAAACACCAAAGGGCCACACATGCAAAATTATGTTTCAGTTACATTCTATACATGAGCAGCTTTACATAGTGGATAACTAAAATACAGCTTTACATAGTGCAGCGTTTCTCAACCTGTGGGTCACGACCCCTTTTGGGGGTCGCATGACCCTTTCCCAGGGGTCGCCTAAGACCACCTGAAAACACATATACTCTCCAGTTATAAAGTATCAACGAAAATAATTTTGTGGTTGGGGGTCACCACAACATGAGGAACTGTATTAAAGGGTCGCGGCAGTAGAAAGGTTGAGAACCACTGACATAGTGGATAACTAATATATTTTTTAAACAAATTATAGAACTGAATCTTACCAGACTTAAGCGTAACTCCTTCACTATACTTCTGAGAGTCATACCTAAGCACAAAGAGGTGTATATTGTTAGAATTAAAATATTCTGCATTATTTATGAAAATGTAAAAAATTATAGGCCATAAAATTCAATCTATGACAATAAGAAACTCAAGTGGAAAAAACAACACACCTTTAATAACCAATATAAAATTCATTGACAAAATTGACATTCCAGATATTTATTAAATTTGTACAACTCAGATTACAACAGCATCCCTTGGATGACAACAGCATCATTACATTTTTTATTACTGTAAAACTGTCTTGGTACAACTTAGAATAAATTGTTAACAATCATAACCAGAATTTTTTTGATATTTTAAGAAATTATTTTAACAGATACAAATTCTCGCCTATGGCCATACCTTACTCCACTTTCTGTTGTTCCATTAGTTGCACTCAAATTTTGATCAACAGATAGATCATCTTCGTAAGTTAACCTTTGTGCTCTTTGTATATGAGGTGAAAGCTTCTGGCGGGAAGGTGATACTTTTTCCAGCCCTGGTGAAATCTTGCTGAGGGCCTGCGGATTCAAGTTACTTGGCGATGTTTTGTCAAGATGTTGTATATGATTTCCCCGAGGCGGTGTCATTGCGTGAGGGGATGATGACATAGGGGCTAAAAATTTTAAAAATTTAACTTGAAAACAGAACAAATATAAAAATATAATCTTCAGGGAGTACTTGTAATTACTTGCTACATGTAGACATGTAAAATATAACTAAATGGTGCTGGTATCATTTTTAATTTCCTTGAGGAACTTTTCTGTCCTATTGATTTTTATTTTATTGATATGAATATGGGCTACATGGTAAATGTGTGTTACATTTTATATGTATATATCATTTTATATGTATGTAACATCATGGCATTCCTTTGTACACAAAGGCTCCATACAACATGAAGCCAACAGAACAGTGGATGTACACAAAGGCTCCATACAACATGAAGCCAACAGAACAGCGGATGTACACAAAGGCTCCATACAACATGAAGCCAACAGAACAGCGGATGCAGTGAAGAAAAGACATGCCAGAAAAGGCTGGGTTAACTCTGCACCTGGAGATGAGCCATCAATCCCCTACTCTTACCGCACAGAATCGGCCTCATCCCCCATTTGTGCACCCACATCCAAGCACACAATTAGCTTATACGATGATTAAGGTGGTCATAGCCGACATGTATTATTATTATTGTTTTTCCTTGGCATGCGAAGATGACTAAGGCCATATTCAACATGATTAGACGCCTTGACTTGAGCTGTATTTTGTTTAATTCAAGGAGTGTTGCTAAATTCACCAGCCTCACTCTCTCGCCGTCGCCTATTTGATCCAATGGCAAAACTTAGTCCAGATGGGGACTGGAAAGAGACCAGGATGCAATGAATGACCAGCAGTGTTTTTGTGTGTTTCACTGTGCTCTTCATGCGTTCCACATCGCAGGAGTTTTCATTATGTCAATGTCATACCGCCTATGGGATATATGTGGAACACTGTATAGTATGTGATATTGAAAATGTATTTTATATGCTTTATGTGTGTGGAAAATGGAAATTTAAACAACAAATTAGGTGTGAATGACTAATAGCTATGGCAGCAATAGATCCCATAAATCCTGTATTGGAACATAGAGTCAATAATCTGAAGATATCCTGTACAAAATGACTGTAATTACAATGAAATGAACATGATAACTTACCTGGAAGAATGGGATGCAGACCAGCATTATATGTGTCGTGAACATGATTAGGTATGACACTTGGGACATGAGGTTGATCACTGTGAGACGTTTCAGCTGAACCAAGAACCTTATTGGAATCAAAAGCCGGCATATTAGTTTAGCAAACTATATTTGATGTTTTCATTATAATACTGAAGTATCCAAAGCCTGTTATTTTTAACAAAATTCTTTTCACAGATAAATGAATTATTGTTTTAAAATTAAAATTGGAACTATTTATTAATAAATATCTGCTGCAATGAAGGCATTTTTAGAGTTGTCTACTTATAGTATAGTAGACAATGTCTAAGTAAATGAGACTTAACAATGATGGAAACTGGTATATGCTTCCATTTTCTATATAAATTAACTGACTTAAATTAATAAGTTTTAAAAGCTCACAAAAAAATGTAAATCTGTAAGTTTTGATGGAAGCAATGATGGCGATTAGAGGTAAAAAAATATTTGTTTAAAAAGAAATGGAAGATCAATTGAAAAGATTACAAAGCTGATTAAAACAATGAAAAACAAATCATTTAATCAATAAAGTTACCTGTGCAAAAATTGAATTGTCTAAAAATGAACTAGTTCCATGCATACTGTCAACACTGTGAGAGGTATTCCTTATAGGGGAGAAAATGCTATCACCTGATGAAAACAAACAAGAAAACAATTACAGAAACTAGTCCACTCTTTCAGATGAAAAATAAATAATTGGTAAAATTAAAATGGTCAAAGTAGTAATAAGCTGACCTGTGGTTATGTCCCCTGCAAGCAGAGATTTGTTCATCATCCATGAGCGCTCACTGCCCGTCTTGTCTGTTACAGAGCTGGTACTTTTGTTTCCTTTCAAATGAATTGTTAGAAACAATATCAATACATTTAGATTCGTCAAATACCAAGGATACGTTTAAATGAACAAGTTAAAAATCATCTCAGACGGACTATGTACCATTGGTGTGACTTATTTGATTTCTGTTTATAAAGCTAAACTTCATCTCCATGTTTGACATTAATCGTAATAGAATGGTCGCGTAATCTTTATAGACTGTTTGTGTGATCTTTATATACTGTTTGAGTAATCAATACACACAAGCACATGAGCTAAAAGTGCCTAAAAATATGAAGTTCATTTTTAAATTAAAAACGAATGGTATTTCAATGATATACATGAATTTTTACAAGCAACCAAAATTTATAGAGTAACATGTTTAGTAAGATGAAAATATTCATTGTTTTTTTTTTATCTGCTTTTCCTTTTCTATTCATCCAATAATTGGAAAGGAGCCATACATAAAAGAAAAATCCAAAACTTAATTATATGGCTTAGAATTCCTTTTCAGGACATTTTAGTATCTTCTTACGTAGGGAAAGTTCACAATCAAATGCTGTCTACCCATTTGAATGTACAATGAAATCATTGATTACATAACTCATTATTTGAATCAAAACCAGATAACTCCTTTAGACCAAAGAAGACTATATTTCTATTAGACACAATTTCTAATTAAAATATTTTTTTATTTCTTACCTTCACCAAGTGGTGAGAAAATTTCGAGACCTGTTACGGGCATTGTGCTTCTCGGGGATGACATGTAAGCTTTGAAAAATACGAATATAAAAAGGCCAGTTATTTAAGTTTGTTATTGGAATAAAGATAAAATGAATTTTTTAAAAACTTGGCTAATAGCAAGGAGTAATGGACTGGCACTAAGTCGGAGTTGTAGAGAAATGAAAATAAAGTTAAGAATTTATAGATAATTAAAAAGAAAAAATAATTGATCGGATGTAAAGAGAACAAAGGGGACAGATTCTGTGTTCACATTTTTTTCTTTAGAGGAAACAATAGCAGTAGAGGACAAATTTAATCTAAAGTGCCATTGACGCTGCTTTTATTTAAGTGTTTGCCGTTTGATTGTGTTGTTATCAAGTTTTCCCATGCAGTGTACTATCTTTTTATGACTTGCTTTGTGACTAAGATTTAATATGACAACTTACTCCTGTTATTTGTGTTTTGATTATGGGTTTCTGAAAAAGTTGCTGGAATTGTTGGAAGTTTTCTACTCAAGTTCTGAGAGGATTGTGATGCGTGCGTTTGATTCTCCTGAAAGAAAAGAAAAACATCTGATAGAAATAAGTAAAATTTACCATGTAGCTGATAAAGAATCTCAGATTTTATTGAGAATAACTTATCACTTATAAATGCAATACATTAATGAATAATAAAATATAACCTTAAAAGGACTAAAGTGAAGGGGAAAAAAAAAAAAGACTCAAACTTGCCTTTTTGAAAAAGCTTAAACGTCTGACAGATGATTTATGAGCATTTAAGCTAAACACTGGAGTGGATTCCTGCCTCATGTCATAGAAAAAAATTGTCCCTCTTGTTGTTCCCACTACAACAGTGGACCCATCATGCATCATATCGACAGATGTCAGAGGGTGATCTGCTATTATCGTTTTGACTGAACTATCAGTTTAAAGAAAGAAAACTTAATCACAGTCATAAAAAACAAAAATACAAAAATTGATATCATAAGTTTATTAAGCAAAATTATAAAATAGATTAAACTTTGGTAGTGTTAAGTTTTTATTTTAACAGAAACAATGATCAGAAGAATTTTTTTGTTAGGGATTTGTGCCCATCCTTATTATCTTTTTTGATTTTGTAGGTATAGGAAGGATATACACATAAGATGTAAATTTAATTTATAATTATATTAATGTTTTTTTGTTGCACTCAGGAAGGCACTAGCCAAAAATGTTTGTCTAATCAAAAGTAAAGATTAAAATATATTGTTTTATTGACACAGTTTGTGTATCATTAACCTAAACTTTAATTATTTGTGTTAATTTTGAAGTGCTATTATTAGGGTAAGCTATTATTAATGCTCAATTAAATTGGGTGTGCCCCCCCCCCCAAAAAAAAACATTTTATCTCATAAATGTACAATGAATCAAGTTAGAAAAAAAAATAATCTCATAAATGTAATTCTAAAACAAAACTAGAAATTATTCTTTTATTGAGCGTCACCCTCTTTATTATTAAAATAAGTTGCTTACGATTTGTTTTGTACATCATAAAACACTGCCCTCTTGTCAAGACCCACACTGACCATCAGGAAGTCATTGATGGGTGAGAAAGCTAAATCTTTCGCGGGTGCCTGGTGTGTATTGGTGAAAGAATGAAGCAAGCGTCTTGTGTTGGTGTCCCAAAAGTTAACAACTCCATCATTGGATGTTGTTACCAGGGAAGCTTTGCGGTAAGGATTATACTTCATCTGATTTATTGCCTGAATGCAGAAATTTTTTTAAACAGACTGGACATAAAACTGTGGTTACTAGTTAACATATAGAAAAGTGAAAAAATATACATTAGCAAACGGAGCAATGATGGTAGATTCTGAAAAACAAATTTGTTTTTACAATATTTGTATGTACTTAAAAATTTGAAGGTGTGGTCAATTGTTAACTAAAGACTGAACTACCTGATTTGAATGTGGTCAGTGTAGGACCAAGAGCTGAACTACCTGATTTGAAGGTGTGGTCAATGGGCTACTGACTTGGCTTGTCACAACATTTAACAGAATTATCTCTCCATTTTCAGAAGCAAGGGCAATGTAGGTATCATTCCAATTCCATCGTGCCGCTGTGACTGGGTACTTGTTTTTCTATAATTAATTTAAATGTGAGATTAATTTTTTTACTAGAACATTAAACAAGGATAATAGGATATGCATTTTAACAAAAAGAATAAATTCTGTAGTAACGCTGTTTTTGAGTATTTAATTCTTTCAACGATTTTTTTAGTAGGACTAACCTTTCAATATATAACAATTCTAAGATTTCATGCACAAGGGACACATACAATTTAACTCCCACGTTTAGTGCATAAAACAAGATAAAACACCAATGTGCCCCTCAGTAAACATTCAAATGAGACAGTAAAACTGCATAGCACTTCAAGAGTTAAGCCTAAACCATCTACCAAAAAATACCAGACTACACCCTTTGTACCAACAAAGAACAGCATTGGAGAGTGTGTAAATTCTTCACTATAGCTGCTGGATCTTAATGATGATATAAGATCGCTCAAAATTATTTCTACAAATTGGTTATAATTCAAAATATAGAAAAACAGAAAATAACACTTTACCCAAGTTTAGAAAGAAAACTTGAGAGATTTTACAAATAAAAATATAAACCAAGGTTAAAATTTAATATAATAAAGAACTCTTAAAAATATATACTCACCGAATAAGTCTTTTTTAGGGTCTGTGTTTTAAGATCCCAAATGTGAATAGCTCCATCTACACACCCACACAGTAAAAATCTGGAGTAAGAGTTAAAATCTAGGCATGAACAGCCAGTCTGTGAAAGAAAACCAATTTACAGTATTTTTTTTTTCTTTCCATAAAATAAATTTCATCTCATGTTATAGACTGAAGCTAAGATTTCAAGTAATAATTTACAGTCTTTCCCAAAGTAGGGTCCATCGTCCCTAGTTGTGCTGGTAAGATCCTACCATCTAGCTTCCTACACTTGGTGTAGGCTGATCCCACCAACTAACTAATAGTAAAGTGATTCAGAAAGGATTATATAAGTAAGGAAAATACAAGAACAATTTAATGATTTCAATGTCATTAAAAAATATCTTACTGGCAAATTGACAGTATGTGCTGGAATTGAACGAGTTCCCTTAGTTAGTCGTAGGTTAACTTTCTTGTCAGTGATGCAGCATGTTGCAAGATAATTTCCTATGATCAAAAAATATTAAACAACCTTGAAAAATTCATGAGCCAGGCTAAGATAAAAAAAAACTATGCATCAACTTTATTTCTGAGAAATATGAAAGTATTTTAAAGTATCTTTCAACAAATGTTTCTGCTCTTACTAGAAACTATGTTATCATCTAGCATTTTGTTCTCCAGAACTTAATAATTTCATTGATTGACACTGTAAAACTGTAAGTGTAAGTACATAATGAACAACAAAATTGCAGTGAACAGCTTCCTAACCATCATGACTCCAAGAAATGTCATTTATGGGTCCATCATGTGCATTAAATTGCTCTACAAGAGAAAAAGTTGGTGCATCCCAGATCTTGGCTTCATCTCCTGATGATGCCAAGTAAGTCATAGTTGTTCTGTTGATGATATACAGATACATATACAGTTAACAATATGTATGTGAGTATTAATCCAGAGATATGAAGTGATTGTAAAAAAATAAATCTAAAGATTTTGTTTTATAATTTTATCCTTACTTTTCAATTAAGTCTGGCTACTCTACACATTTTTTAGGCAGTGTCTAAACGTCTGACATATATCTCCCTCACTATTTGTGCGGCGACCAGGTCACTTGACCGCCGGAAAAATACTTTAATGAGATATTCGTCCGGCAACCAGGTCACATGACCGCCATAACCAAGTAATAGTGCGGGTGATAAATAATTAAGAGGCCGATAGTACACAAAGAAATAAACACTACATCTTAATATAGGGCCGATATAGTGGTAGCTTAGCTAACTTCTCATGCAATACTAAATACTAATCCTGAAATACAACGATATTGACATAGGTTTTATTTTATTTGGTTCATATTTTAAATTTAGGCTTCAAGGTAGAGCTCTACAAGATGTTTAACCAAGGGACTTTTTTCTTTGAAGAGTCTGAATCAAATAGATTAGTAATAGTAGTAGTAATAGTAGGCCTACTAATAGTTAGTATTTAGGCCGACCGGTTTAATATTCAAAGTCAAACACTTTATGTATCTCAGAGCATTTGAATATATTAACATGTTGAGCATTTATTTATTATCTAGGGATCGGCTGACTAACATATGTACACAATATTGGAATATCAAATGCAATGCAACTGTTTTGACGGCAACCACTTGTCATATCACCTGCCGGAATAATAACGCTTTAACAGTTGTCCGGCGGTCACATGACATCTCCCGCACTATTTGTCCGGTGCGCCGGACGTGTAGACACTTCGGATTTTTTAACAGTCCCGGTAAATTTGTATGAAATGAATTTTTATATTTTATATATTTCAGTACTGGCCCATACTTTGAGGGAAAGAATTTGCCCTGACTGAGCTGATATTAATAATTAATACTATTATTATTATTAGACTTAGATATTTGTGATGAATAGGGTTTTGTTTTACAAATAATTCATATTGTTTAAAATAGTAATTCAAATTCAAGTGAAGCTGAAGGGATTTTTGTTAGTGTGAGTGTCATATTTGTTTAGTCTTACTTAACTTACTATAGGTACTTCGGTAAGTCAAGGGAGACTACTACTTTTTGTGTATGGGATTTCGCAATCGGCGCCAAAAAATCCGAGTTTTTAATTTTCCGATGTGTGTGTCTATTTATTATTAAATTAGTACTTTCGATATGTATTTGAGTTCCGTTTTCGGCCTTATAATTAGGTAGACATCTTGGCCTACATTTTAATCAATTTCTTTTTCATTTACAATCAGTCAGCTTTGAGAAAATCCTTGGTAAATATAAGGCAACTTTCATCATTAAAATTAAGTCGAAGGAAAAAATTTGTCACTACCAAATTTTTTTTGCATCTGGGGAATCTATTGATCTACATGTATGCCAATTTTCACAGCGATAAGTGTCTTACGAGAGACGCTATGTTTCTGCGCGTTCGCAGCAGGTCATGCAGCTCGCTCAACCTAATTTCGCCATGGGGTTGGCCACGCCCCCCTTTTTAATGGCGGAAGTTGACGATACTTAGGAAATATTAATTTATTATCACTATTTACATCAAAATAATTGATAACTTGTGTTTCAGAATGCATTTAAAGACATTTAAACTGGAATGTTTTAATTTGAGCTTTAACAACCCGGTAGAATCCATATTATAAATGATCAGAATTTACCGTGTGCAACACGTTGTCATTGGCAACCATTCACAGCCACTTGCATAACTGTGTCGTAGTACTACCTCAGAGTTTCATTCATAAGAGTTTGCCGTGTGCAAAAACTATTAAACCATTGGTCAGGGAAAGCTTTAATTAATTATTCATGTGCCAAAGTTGAAAGTTTAAACTAAGTCGACCCTAAACAGTATTTTAGTGATAAGGCGATGCGTTGCCTTATATAAAGTATATAGTCATTGCGCATGACGCGATCAGCGGAATGAGGTCACAAGATGTGGAGGTTTCGTCCATAGTAAAAAATACCAAACGAACTCACACTTTAAAAATTCATAGCTCAAAAAGTACTTAAGCTAAAAAGTTGATTCTGGTTTCATTTTTTTATTTGAAATTAGCTCTAACTAACTGTGCTATTAAAAAAATTATTTGAATTTTTTAAAATTTTGTATCCAAGTGCCTACTTACTAGAAAAACTTAGACTACTTAGACAGAGCATCTTTCCAGTTGCATGTGTCCAAAACACAAAACCAAACATCCAATTAGGGCCTACAATTAAAAATATTAATGATCTAATACTAAAGAACTCTACAGACACCTCACTGTTTTAGTACTCCTGTATTTTTAACTACAAAAAGCTGAGGTGAAAATAATTATTATAAGGCATAATAACATAACTACTATAATTTAAATTTAACTCACTCAAGTATACAACAGGACAAAACTTATTTCCATGGCATTTTTATATGTCAATTTGATGATTTTTTTTGTGCCTTTTGTTTATTGATATTTCGAATTAATTCCGTTTTCACTTGTTTTTGTTGAATGATTGTCATATTTTAAAAAAATAATAACCTAACATTTCATTACATTAGATGTAATTGCAAGAAGTATGCTGTGTAAAATAACTAAAAAAAATTCGGGTACCTTTTTATTTACAAAAAAATATCCATGACTTGAATATTTACAAAATAAGTAAATGGCGCCTTTAAAGTCGGTAAAAGTTATCTTCTCTTAGGAGGAACTCGATACTAAAATTTCTATAGAAATAAAATTTGCAATTATTCGATTTCGATTGAAATAAATGTTAAATTTTATTTAAAATTAGAATTATAATTAAATATATAATTAGTAAACATATTGAAACGAATGGAGTTATATTCCAAATCTAATTTTTAAAAAATGTTAATAATATTTATGAAATACAACGTCTTTCCATTATTTTTACATATAATCGAGTGCCTTTTTTATTTTCTGATTACATTTACCGATATCACAGAAATCGAGTCTATATAATTAAAAGAAAAGAGACATTAACTTTAATATATTATGGACACATATCTAAATCTTGCTTCGATTATAGTAAACAGTAGTAAATGGGTTTTTTAAAAACGGATCCCGTTGGGTTTAAAAAATAAAAATAATTAAACAACATATTTTATTATTACAGTTTAAAAAGATGATATTGATACAATTGATTCCTTACATTTGTATGAAAGTACAAATATTTTATAAAAAAATAACAATATTTGCCAATTTGCACGACAAATCTTTTAATTTTTTTTTTTTGGGGGGGATTTATTTGATTTGCAACCTTAAAATAAAATGGTATTTATATTAATTTGAAATTAATTAATACTATTTTTCAAAATCATTCTACTACAGCACTGCATTTTTTTCTTTGAATGATAAAAAGATGTGAGACTTTTATTATTATCATTTCGTTAATTAAATCTTTTAAAAAAATGAATATTGATGCCCTTTGAGTGCAACTTAATATTTAATATAAAAAATTATTGCATAATATTTTATTATATTATTTATTTTTATTAATTATACTCAAATATATTTGTATTTATGAGTGACAGGATTCAAAGCATTTCTGTAATGGGAAAATCTGGCTTATTTGTCAATCTTTTCACACTTCCGTAAAAGTTTTTTAATTCTGATTCTTGTTGATGGATGGAAAATGAATCCACATCATATCTTGAAAGAAGGGTACCTGCTTGTGCAGGTACAGATTATAATCTTTATTTAAGACAATAAAAGATAACGTACACATTAAAGTACTATATTTCATTCATGCATATTCACATTAATATTTGGGTGCCAAGCAATTTGTCATCACACTCACTCACACTGAGTCACACCGAGTGAGATCTCAGATAGTTGCTAATTTTTTATTAGTTCAGAATAGTAATTAGTAATAATAGGATAATATTAAGTATTATAGATAATAGACTCAAATGATAAATTCATCACCTGGGAAATAGGGGCATAGGCATAGGAGCCATAATTACTGATTACTTTTGTATGGTGGGTCTTGCTTTTCCCTTAAACCTCACACTCACAGCTCAAGGCCATGACTAGATACTTTGGTCAAAAATTTAAACATTTTGTAAAAATAAACCAATGGCATAGTTGAATAGAGCTAAATTTTTACAGAATTATAACACCAAAATTATATTTTTAGCTGTTGTAGTTTTAAAGTTATGAATTTTTAAAGTACGACTTGGTTTGTCCTTTTTTAACATGGACTGCATCTCCACATTCTGTGACCTCATTCCGCCGATCGCGTCATGCGCAATGACTATATAGTTTATATAAGGCCAAGGCATTCCCTTATCACTAAAATACTGTTTAGGGTCGACTTATTTTAAACTTTCAACTTTGGCACATGAATAATTAATTAAAGCTTTCCCTGACCAATGGTTTAATAGTTTTTGCACACGGCAAACTCTTATGAATGAAACTCTGAGATAGTACTACGATATAGCCGTTATGCAAGTGGCTGTGAATGGTTGCCAATGACAACGTGTTGCACACGGAAATTTCTGATCATTTATAATATGGACTCTACAGGGTTTTTAAAGCTCAAATTAAAACATTCCAGTTTAAATGTCTTCAAAATGCATTCTGAAACACAAGTTATCAAATATTTTGATGTATATAGTGGTAATAATTAAATATTTCTTAAGTATCGGCAACTTCCGCCATTAAAAAGGGGGCGTGGCCCACGCCATGTCGAAATAAGGCGGAGCCCCCTTATGGTGATATGGGTCACTGGGAGAAGCGTAGCGAACGTGGGACACTACCTACATCAATGAGAATTGGCACAGATATATATCAATATCTAATGCCTTACACGATTTAATATGAAAGACATGTTCCTTTTATTTCACAAAAAATTTTGTATTCGAAGATGCCTTATATATAACAAAGATTTTCAAAATGAAGTTCGATTGAAAAAAGCAAAATAGTTGGATGGAAATGTAGGCCAAGATGTCTTCCAAATTATAAGGCCGGAAACGGAACTCAAATATATGTCCAAAGAACTAATTTAATTATAAATAGACACACACATCGGAAAATTAAAAACTCGGATTTTTCGGCGCCGATGCTTATTTCCGATACAAAAAAAGTAGTAGTCTCCCTTGTTTTATCGAAGTATCTACCATGACCAAGTCTTGGCCAAGTGCATGGCACCTGGTCAAAACAAGGATAACTTAAATTTTATTTTAAATCGTCTGAAGCGACTCATATGCATTTTAAGTTTTCATAAAATAAAAAGTGAGACTACTTACAAAAAATTTGTATTGGAAATTGTGGCCGGTTGAAAACCAAGTTTTCAATGCTTTTTAGGCACTACCGCTATACTGTATTATAGACAATATCAAGCTATATGAATTAATCCCTATATGTGATCTTTAAAAGTGATTTTATTAATATACCACCAACTTTCAACTTGTTTTACATTGTAGAACAACTTGGCCTAAACTTGCCTGTAAAAGTTCCTATTGCCTATTATTTTTTTGTTTTCACATTGGACTGTATTATTGAGAAATAATTCTAAACATAGGGGTCATCCATAAATGACATCATGCAAATTTTTGCCTATTTTTGACCATCTCCCCACCTCCCACTGCTCTACCCTCTCCACCTCATGCCCTCCCCCTTTATTCCACCAACTTTCAACTTGTTTTACATTGTAGAACAACTTGGCCTAAACTTGCCTGTAAAAGTTCCTATTGCCTATTATTTTTTTGTTTTCACATTGGACTGTATTATTGAGAAATAATCCTAAACATAGGGGTCATCCATAAATGACATCATGCAAATTTTTGCCTATTTTTGACCCCCCCCCCCACCCCTCCCCTCATCGTCACAAAAAGTTAGACTCCCCTCAAATATAACTTCACAAATCTGTGCACCCCCCACCCCTAATCAAATTCCCTGCGTCCACTACTGTCCTTTACAAACCCTTATGAAATTCATCTCCTGTGGATATCAAATTACTGCACCTGTGTTAGAAACATTTCACAAGAACAGTGGTTCTTAACCAGGAGTAAAAGTACCTCCCCAGCCATGAGGTGTGGAAGACCAGAAAATTGTAATTAGTGGCGTAGCTAGTGGGGTGCGGACCGCACCAGGTGACACTATCTCAGGGGTGACATAAAATTGCATATTTACAGAGCACACACTGCTCGGTCTAACCAAATTTCATAAGAGGATAACAGATGACTCATACATTTTCCACCAATGTAACCAATCAAAATGCATGTTTTATTAAAATTTCAAGGTTGATTTGGTTACCTTATTATTAGGTCAGAAACACACCATATTGACCATGTTTCAACGCCGAATGAAGTGTTTGGTAACTTTTGTAAGTTACAGGACGCTATATTTATCTAAATTCTGAGAAATAAAGCTATCTTTTGATAACAATGGGCGAATCTAAGTGCATGTCACAGTTCTTAAATACATTTACTTCCTGACCTTCAATTAATTTTTGTTGTTCTTATATTTGTTATACTGTGGACTAAGTTTAACAAGAAGATTACATCGTGGAAGTCGGGAGGGGGAGCACCTTACCGGACCAGGTGACACCAACTATAGCTATGCCACTGATTGTATTTGCTACCATTGCTAGTTGCTGCTGCTTTGAAAAAAAAAAGTTTTTTGCATTTTGATTAGCAGCAGTAAATATTGTTCTGGTGAATTTTATTGGCGCATTGCTTGCATTGGTAATTTTTTCCCTTGTTTATAAAAAGTTAATTAAAGAAATAAAACTACAGTAACTAAATTATTTAAATATTTTAAATTTTATTTATTTTATACAGTTGGTTGGGGGGGGGATGTTTAAAATGGAGTGGTCCTGCTGATACAAATTTTAAGAATCCCTGCCCTAGAGCCTTTACTAAGATACTCCTGTGAACCTTTTTTTTGTTCCATCCGAATTTCCTGCGGTAGCTCTAATTCTATGATTCCTGTGTCCAGATTTAGCCATAAATTCTCAAGACTGTCACTATAACTACATCCCGATTCCCCTCCTCCTTGGCGTCCTGTAACTTGATCAGAAAACAATTCTTTGTACCGCGCATACCTGTACTGAGTCTCCCAGTGTTAGTAGTTTAAAAATAAAATAATGACAATTGTTATATTAAAGAATAATGTTTCAAATGTCTGTAATTTAGTGTTATTAAGTGCAATTCTTTACTACAATATTCTGCTTTTCATGTGACGTCACATTGCTTGAGGACCCCCCCGCCCTCGGCACACATCGTCACAAAAATCTGACCCCCCTCCGCCCCCTAGGTGCGTGTCTTCATTTATGGATGGCCCCATACCAATAGGCCTATATATCTCAATGTCTTTAAATGTATATTTTTCAAAGATGATATAATAAAAAGAGTGTTATTAATTTTTAACAGATGGATGAATGATAATGGTATTTTATTTGCTAGGTTTCCTGAATGAGCATCATACATGACTATCTGCATGACATGCTGCTTTCTTGTGTAATAATAATAATAATAATAAAGTTTATTTCAAAAACACGCTTTATCCCCAAAGGCTCGAAGCGCGGTACAAAATCAACAAAAAACAAATCTATAATTTACCACATTTAAAACAAACGCAACACTACAAAAACTAATTACAAGCATACAATGTCAAAGTCTTTCTAGCCATTTCAACCATAAGCAACAGTTAATATGCATTAACTGGAAAATAAGGTAGACAATCATCCCAGAAGGTGTTTGCGAAATAGATGTGTCTTTAAATCGGTTTTAAAGGACTCCAGTGTCTGGTTGTTTCTGAGATCGACAGGAAAGGCGTTCCAAATTGTTGGACCAGCAAATGCGAAAGTGCGCTTTCTGTAAGTCTCAAGGCAAACACGTGGTGTCGAGAGTTTGCCACTATCAGATGAGCGGAGTCGTCTAGTGGGTACATAAGGCGTCAGCAGCTCTTTCAGATAGGACGGCGCCAGGTCATGTAAGCAGCGGTAGCACAAAGTTGCGATTTTGTACTCTATGCGAGCACGCACCAGCAGCCAGTGCAACTCTCTCAGAAGTGTTTTTGCATGGTCGAACTTGCGTTTGCGGAGAACAATGAGAGCCGCATTATTCTGTGCTATTTGAATTTTATCCAGGAGCGTAGCTGGAAGACCCACCATGAGATCATTGCAATAGTCCATGCGTGATAGCACAAATCCAGACATCAGCCTCTTTATTGCATCAATTGTTAGGAAGGGCCTGATGTGACTAATCCTGCGCAGCTCCAGAAAAATCGCCTTGCATTTTGCATAGCATGTAAATATGACTTTCAAAAGTTAGTCTTCTATCTAGGTAGACACCCAGGTACCGCACTGTTTGAGCTAACTCAATACGCACACCTGAGAGAGTAATTGATGTCGTGTTATTTGCAGATTTTTGCTTCTGAGCGGTCGCGATGGGAAGCAGCTCAGTCTTATCATCATTCAATTTGAGCTTGTTTATGGTCATCCAGTGCTTAACCGACTCCATTGTCTTCTGTGTCATACTGAGCAGCTGAGGGAACTGAGAAGGGATCACGGATTGATGAAGTTGTGTATCGTCCGCGAACATGTTATACAACATGTCAAACTGCCTGATCTCTGCACCCAGGGGCTGAATGTACATCGTGAAAAGCACCGGGCCTAGCACCGAGCCCTGGGTTACTCCGAATTTGATAATAGATTTCTTCGAGGTCAAGCCGTTTGAAATAACTGACTGGACCCGGTTCAGTGAGACCGAACGTTTGTTGCAGACGCTGGAGCAGTATGCCGTGGTCGAGCGTATCGAAAGCTGCCGATAAATCGAGTAAAGACAAAATCGATACCTGGCCCTTATCACAAGACGACAGAAGGTCGTTTACGACGGGCAACGGCTGTCTCAGTAGAGTGATGCGCCCTGTATGCTGACTGGAATGGTTCAAACAAGTCAAACTGAGTGAGGTGATCCAGGAGTTGGCGGAGAACAACTTTTTCTAAGATTTTAGAAATAAATGGTAGATTTGAGATGGGGCGATAATTTTCCATCACATTTGGGTCAAGATTTGACTTCTTTAATAGTGGAGTGACGATCGCCTCTTTAAAAGATGATGGAACAATACCAGTAGCTAAGGACTGATTTATGATATAAGTGATGATGGGGACTATTTCATCCAGACATTCATACAAGAGCCCTGCTGGAAGAGGGTCAAGCGAACATGACTTTCTTGGGGTATCAGCGAGGATTTTCCTCACATTCGATTCACTGACCTCAAGAAATTCACCCATAGAAGAGCCGTTGAAGAGTGAGAATTCTGGAGCAGTATCGATGCAACTGTCAAGTTTTGTCCTGATCCTCTTAACTTTTGTAATAAAGTAGTCGTTTAGAGCGTCTTGCAGCTCTTCTACAGCAATGTTATTTGGCAGAGATGTAGCCTTGTTTTTACCCGTCAGCTGACCCACAATGCGAAATAAGTCCTTGCTAGAGCTGCTGCCTGTAATCTGATGACTAACATACTCAGTCCTAGCTGCAAGGACCAACCTCTTGGTTCGTTCCCTGTGGTCAACAAAGATTTGTCGGTGCACAGTCAAGCCCGACTTCCACCATTGGCGTTCTGCACGTCGCTGCTTCTGCTTAGCGTCCTTAATTTCGGGCGTGAGCCATGGGGCGGAAAGGCGGTTCGTAACTCGCCGTGTGGACAGTGGTGAATGTTTGTCTAAAATGACTCTGAGGCCACTGTTGTAGTCTGTAGCAGGGTCATCTTCACCGCACTCAAGGGCTGCGACGTCACATCTAAAGGCCGCTAGGTCTATCTGTTGGAGGTCACGGGATGTTACTGATCGCAGAAGGCGTCCTGGCTTCCTCAAGTCAAAGTCGAAGGTGACTGGGAAGTGATCAGAAATAAGTTTGTCCTCAATAATGAGGTTTTGGATCAAAGCTGCCCGGTCCTCTCTGACAACCAGCCAATCTAGCATGTGACCTCGCTTCTGCGTCGGGACACTGACAAGCTGAGTCGTTCCGTGTGTGTCGAGAGCTGATTTTAAGGTCTTCAAGAAGCTGTCGGTGGTGGAGTCGAAATGGCAGTTTATGTCGCCGATTATGATGACATTGTTGTTGGTGGTGGCGTACATGTCAGGGAGCTGTATAAACTCTACAGTAACCTGACAGATCTTCAACTTATTTTGCTTATTTGGAGGTGGCCTGTATATGTATAGAAACGTCATTGCTTGTTCACCGTAATTAAGTTGCATTTTGCACATTTCAAATGAAGCAAACTCGTCCGATTTTGAGATGGCCACACTGTTTTTAAGGGAGTTCCTGTAAAGGACGGCAATACCACCACCACTGCGCGACTGCCGTGGGCAAGAGTGAAGGACGTAGTCCGGAGGTGTAATTTCTTGAAGCTTCACCTCATCTCCGACACGTTTAAACCACGTCTCGGTAATGAACACAAGGTCGGCCTTGCTCTCCAAGACAAGATCACACAACTTGGCTGTCTTATTTCTGCAGGACTGGGAGTTGAAATAAAGCACTCCGAAATGCCGTGATTGCGGCTTCACAGCAGGCTGGCAGTCAACAACAACTAAATTTGATCTCGTCACGCCCCGTCGAGACGGTGTGAAATCATGAGCCACCGGCCTGCTCTTAGGATTGACACGTAGGGAATGGTCACGATGGAGGACACAGTATGTGGCTGATTTCCGTCGTTACTGACAGCCTCGTTTTAAGGCTTTACATGACGATCTCCACAAGCAATAATATTGACATGGCTTTCGCCATGGTGGTATTTCAGTGGACACTGTTTCAGACGACCTGCTCGATAAAGACGCTTCTTCTTTCGTCATGCGCCAACTTTCTGTCCACCACTATGATGGGGCAGGCCTTGACCAATGGAGAGTTCTTTAAGTCGATACACCAAATTAGCAGACAAAGTATGCGTTTGACATTAATTGACAATAATCGATCGCGTGAGTACATCAGCCGGGGTGTGTCACCAAGCGTATCATTAGCATGCATGAGCTATGATTTTGATGACAGCTAAGATGGCCGACTACGCAAGGAAAACAGGAACACATATAAAACTACCATATGATCCAGAGCTTGATTCTATACATGCCTGTAAGGCGTAGTGTCAAGCTCAAGACAACTTTGACTTCCCTGAAATTGAATTTTGTAATTATGATAATCATTTCACAGTATCTTCTTGATTTGTGTACAATTTCGGTATTCAAAACTTTGAAAGGCCGCCATCTTGTTAATAGTCAGATCATATAATTTTGTGTGTAAATACTATTGAATAACGTTAAAGTTTTTGTGCCTACACATTTAAATCAATAATAGTTTAAAATGAATAATAATAATAATTGTTACTCATACTCATATGGCATGATATGGGAAATTATTATGGGCTACATGTTACTACATATAGAATATGTGCATACGTCTAAGTAGTAAGTTGTATAATCATTTATGTTAATCAAGGGACAAAACAAGTCAGAAATTCAACTAACTACATGAACTAAAATTATGAAAAACTCTTTTAATTTGTAGGGTTGTGTTAATTTCTAATACTAATGTAAAACTGTTTCCTGCCTATTCATTAAATAAATTAGTGTTCCATTCATTTTAAAGATGAACAATAATGAAAATGTTTTTTATAAATTTATATTAAATTGATAAGAAGACCCATTTCCGACATCAATTTTTGGGGTGTTTTTTGGGGAGGGGGTAGGAGTGACTCTGGGGACAAATGAACTTTTCATTCACTTTTCCAACTTGCACCTTCTAGTCTTAAATGCATCACTTTTTTTTCTTCAAAATTTCTATTATTCATGAAATGAAGTTGTTTCCGTTTGTGAATGAATGAAGCAGTATTATGGTAGACTACTGTGTTCCAATTTCACATAAAAAAATAATAAGCAATTAAGTACATACCGATGCATTAGAATAAATGCGTTGACGGTCACAAAATTTGCCATTCTGAAAAATGTCATTCCCCAGATCAAGATGGCATTACTTTTGTAATTATTTAAAATAGTTATATGATGTCTGGAATCAATGCTTATTTAAAGCCACCCATCCAATCTTGGTTGAACAGGTGCATATATTGTATTCTTTATTTTGACTGTTGTTCAGAATGCCAACAAAAAATGGAAAGCCCGTTGGTTTGTGTTAAGCGAGGACCACCTATCCTGTCATCACAAAAAGAACAAGTCAGTGATCATCAATTCTCTTCCATTACAAGGCTGTTCAATCGTATGTCCTTGTCCAGAGTTTGCAGATTTCAACACACAGGTTAGTGTTGTTAAATGTTGGGTTGGTTATAAATCAAATACATTTTTTCTAAAAAGAATATTGCTTATCAGCTGGCTTGAATTCTATTTGACTATTCTTCTCCTTTTGGCATGAATTCACCGCAGGGTCTATTCAAATTACTTGTACCTGATGGTGAGGAGTTCTATTTTCAAGCTGGAGGAGTTGAAGATAGAGACCGATGGGCACATGCTCTGGGTGCAGTTATTAGATCTCTAAGTACATCAAAAGAGGTAAAATGTATAGAGAGACGTTGTATCATAATAGAAAATGTAATAACGTTATCAAAAATATCTCTCAGATAACCAAAACATTTCCTTTAAATCTTGTGTTCTTATCATAGCATTTCTATTTGCAGATTATTCATGACAAAATGTCATTTCAAGACTTTCATACATATGCAAACGTTAGGTATGCTCATAATTAGAACTTTGTTTTTCTATTAGATATGTACATTAGGATTTCACATGGCTAGAAATAGCAATTTGGAAAATATTGATTTATAAAGAAAAAGATGAGTTGAGCAAGTTAAATTTTTTAATTGCCATCTATTTGAGGTGATTGTTAAAATATTACTCATCGTGTAGAGCCAAATGTCATAATTGTATTATTTTTGTATTTCCAGCGAAATAATTGGAGCCATTCAAGATCCTGATGCTGGTATCGAGTCCGCCAATCACCTGAGGGGCGGAGTCGTTTTTAAGAACTGTTTTACAGGTTGAGTTTTTTTTGCCATTGTCAGGATTGTTTAGCGTGCAAATATTTTAGAAGGGCACAATTTTAAAAAAATTAATCTTTAATCCTGTGAATTCATGTTTAGTTTGTAGTTGCATCCATCATTTTATGAGATTTAATGCATTAATGGAGGCTTGAGTGAACAATTATTGACATTTTATACAAGTCTTATTTTGTTTCTTGCCAGTTATTAAACTATTATGACTTTAAAGATTAATTTAATGAAAATCTGGTAGTGTCATCCTGGCTAGTAGAATGGTCATGTTTCTTTTTCTTTATAAAAGTTATAGTTAAAAAAAAATCAATTTAGCTTAATTTTTTGCATATTTTTTTGTTCAACTAGGAAAAGCGATTGTGGATTGGCTGCTACGGTGGTCCCTTGTACGGAACAGAAGTAATGGTGCGGCAATGGGCCAGGCATTACTTAAACTAGGTCATATCCAAGAAGTAGATCTGAAAGATGGAACAAGTGGGGTCAGTCCAAGGTTCAGTGACAACAACAAGCTCTACCGTTTTGTAAGTTGATCATGTGACAGTTGTTAATATTGATGATGTAAAAATAAGGGGTATTGGGTGGTGACCCTTTTAAGTATTTCTGACACCATTTTCTAGGTTCTCTTTAACACAGCTTCACTCAGCACCAAGAGTCACGCACACCAAATACCAGAGGCAGCAACCCTTCATAAAATATTACTGTTCATCTTTATTCTTGGTACTGGCAAGACATCAATATAATTTTGTACACAACGTGCGCCTCTGGGACTAATATCATCTTAGGCAACAAAGACTCAACGTAACTAGCTTTCATTAGTCACACACATCTGGCTACTGTGTATCAACTTCTGGATACTCCCAGAACAAAAAGTGAATCCATGTTTACCAAATGTTACGAGCTACCCAATTAGTAACGCACTGGCTTCTGGCTTCTATTGTGAGAAATTAATCTCTTGTTTTAAGTTATGGCTCGTTCACACAGTGCACAACAAAGAACAATACCATAGAGAAATACAATAATAAAGTTGCGACTCACAAAAACAGTTGCCAATTACAATTAGTAAGATTTAATTTAGTAATAATACAATTACAAAACAAAAGAAATATAATTAAAAATCATCAACTTACAGAGTATGTGAAAATCTTGTACCGCAAATAAACACATGAGCACACAAAGAATAATACAATTGTCTCGTAAAGTTAATAGTATCTATCTGAATCTCTCTCTGTCTCCGTGTTTGTCAATCCCTTCATATATGCAGCGTAAGCCCTGCCTTCCAGAAACTACTCAGCATTTGTTTACGTTTCTTGGCAAATTGAGAACCTTCGACAAGATACTATGAGACATACTAACCATGTTTAATTGAAAGTCTGTAGTAAACAGGATACATCAAAGACTAAGCCACGCCCACCACAAACGCTATCATCTGCTAGGGATCTAATGTGAGGTGAAATAAAGTTAAAGCACGGGGGAAAAGTTTACTACATAACACCAAATCTCTACTCTAAATCAACTGCTGGGAGCTACAAAGTCAACTTTTAAACTCACACACCTTATATTCACACACTTGTTTGTAAAATTTAACTGGGCTTTTACTTTTATATTTTAAAAAAAATGTATGTTTATTTTTCTTGTTGACCAAATTACAGTTTTATTGAAAGAATGTAAATATTGAAATATTGTTTCTCAAGACATCCATCAATCTCGGAGCCAAAAGAAACAGTTTTTATGACAGTACAGATAGTGAGTCGAGTTCTTCAGAGGATGATGATGATGACATAGACAAGGAAGAGCAGAAAGTGAAAAAGGGAAAGGTGCTGAAGGAAGCATTTTTGGCTAAAAAGGTAAGTCAGGTTTAACATTTACTTCCATTGACTGGCAAGATTTAAACAGAACCGCTCAATGGTTGGTCCGTGTTTATTCCTGTCCATCTCAACGTGTCTGATATAAAAAGAGGAAATATTGTCAGGAGTCTTTGTCCCCCTTTCTGCTAGACGAGTCTAATGGAAATATTGGCTTAAGAATATGACAAGATGTCGAATATCAGAATTTCTCCAATGGTCTGCACTTTGTAACTTTTGACTGTCTTATGTACTTCAGTTGGCAGTCGGCCTGCTTATCCAACAGATTGATGGTCACTTTGTAACTTATGAATTAGTAGTTTCATATTCAGAATTAGTAGTTTCAAATACAGAATTAGTAGTTTCATATTCAGAATTAGTAGTTTCAAATACAGAATTAGTAGTTTCATATTCAGAATTAGTAGTTTCAAATACAGAATTAGTAGTTTCAAATTCAGAATTAGTAGTTTCATGTACAGAATTGAATTGAATTATAAAGAAGGCCTTAAATTATTTTAAAATATCTGTTTCTGCGTGTTTCTTTTGTTGGCTTTTATTGATTCGACTATTTGCTTTTTCTTATGCTAGAAACACATTCGCAAGGGTTGGCGTGTTGTGAAAGTGACAGTCAGAGAAACTCCCCCGACACTTCAGTACTGTCGTGCCAAATTATCTGCTGTAAGTAAGTTATGAATATGATGGAATAAACAAAAAAATGATTACTTGGATGGCATAACCCATTCAATTTCATCATTATTGCACAAGAGAAATAGCGTAATTTGTCATAGTATGACTTTAAAAAATTTACTGAAGTTTTGGGAAATAATTTAATTGAACACATAAAACAACCAATTATGAATGCAAATCAATTTATTTCATAGAAATATATTGCAAAATAGAGATGTTTAAAGTTTTTTCTTTCTGAGCCGATTTACGGTAAAGGTGGAGTTGTTCCCCTTTGCCTGGGGTTTGAAATAATGAAAATGAAAAAATTTCTGACTGCCCAGAATTGAAAAGGATAAAATACAAGTAATGGTGATCAACTGCATACAAGAATTTATTTTCCTTTGTTGTTGAGGCAATAAACTGGATTCTCTAACAACTTATTATCAGGTGACAGACGACAAGTGCCCTACCAAAACAGTGTTGTTGGACAGGTGTAAGGTGATGGAAATTATCAAACCACCTACTTCTAAAGGTATCTTGTTTTCATGGACAAATTTATCTTTAGATAGGACATTAACTCATTCCCTCCGGCAGTGCTATTTCCGTACTTAATTTATTTTCCTGAGAAAAGGGAAGTTTTGAAATTTATTTACATTTTAAAAATATTTTTTTAAGCTGCTAAATATTAATAAATGTTAATGAATTAAGGACGAATGCATCAAAAAATGAATAAAGCTTAATAAAAATTAACATTAGCGTCGAAAAAATAATGAACAATGGGCAAAATATCGATTTTTTGGCACCTCGGACGAACACATGCTAGATATAGTCGAGCCGTACTAAAGCACACTTAGTTTTAAAGTGAAACAAGATGAAAACTTATGGTTTTTAAATTAAAAATCACGCATAATCACGCCACAGCTGGAAGTCTCGAGGGACGCGAGATTTAATTGCTATTGTTAACTAAAAATAAGAGAGGTGTGTTGCTACGCATTTGGACGCATCGGTCGAAACCCCCCAAAGGACGCATTAAGTCGCAACCGTCTGGAATGAGTTAATAGTGAATTAAACTATTTAATTCCATATACTTCACAAAGAAATGGGGCATGAAAATCTCCAATTTATATGGTGAAAACCAAGCATAACTCCCAAGACAAGCTTTTTGGACTCTTCTATATTTAAAACATAAAAACTTTGCTCATTTAGTTGAATGAACTGTCTACACAAAAAAAGTCATCCATTTTACCTTGTATGTTTTACGTTTTGTTACTTATATAGATTCATTTTATAAATATTGTGAAACATTCTGATCAAGGTAACAATTTTTAAACCAGAAGAATTTAAACGTAATACATTGAAAGTATTCTTCAGTGCAAAAAATCAGCTATCATGTATCATCAAACCTCACTTCCTAAATAAATAAAATGAATTTGAGAGCGTTTCATTAATTTTAAAATAGATAATAATAATAATAATAATAAAGTTTATTTGAAAAACACGCTTCATCCCCAATAGCTCGAAGCGTGGTACAAAGTCAACCATATTAAAAAGAGAAATAAAAACAATCTGAAATTTACCACATTTAAAAAACAGACGCAACAGTATAAAGCTACATACGAGCATACCCAGTCAAAGTCTTTCATCCCGTTTCAACCATAAGCAACACAAGCCAATATACATTAACTGAAAAAGATGGTAGATAGCATCACCACAGAAGGTGTTTCCCAAATAGATGTGTTTTTAAATCAGTTTTAAAGGACTCCAGTGTCTGGCTGTTTCTGAGAGCGACTGGAAGATGTTCTCACCCAAACACGGGGGATTAAACATGCTGACAGATGTTCTCACCCAAACACACAGGATAATTATGATTTATATATTTTTATGGCACTACAACATTTCCACTGCTACAATAAGATACCCGGTATGATTTAAAATAAAAATTACTTATATTGCTATTTCAGGCAGCAGTAGCACAAGTAGTGGTGTCAGTGAGGGCTCAGAGCCAAGGTCTCCACGCTTTCGTCTTGTTGTCCGAAGCAAGAAGGGAAAGACCTTAACTTTCCAGATGAAGGATGAGCAGGAGAAAGTCGAATGGCTGAGTGTGCTGAGTGACATCTGCAGCAGATCTACAACGATGGATGTCATCAGCGACAACAGGGCTACAGCTGAGGCAGCTGGCGTCAGTTAAGACATATACAAAATGTCTTGTGTCATCCAGATTTGGTTCGGCTTGTTATGAAATGTGAAGCCGAGTTTGCATCAAGTGACTTAGTGAATTGCCAATACTGTGCAATAATATCTATCAATGCTGGACTAGTGGTTTGGAGAGAAATATGCGGAGGACTGCGTTCAGTTTGAAGCACTAAGAAATATACACAATGTAGAGAAAAATTTGAAAGACAATATCAGACCTGTTAACTCTTATGATTTTGGTGTACCACGTATGATTTAGAGATATCTTTTATGATTGTACGTTAAGACTGGCCAGAACTATGATTTTAAAAGGGAGTTTAAAATATATACATTCCAGTAGTTTTTCCTATTAAAAAGTACATTTTTGGCAGTTGTTAATTTTAGCTTCTTTTTCCTACAAAAAAAATCAATCTTAAGTTTCTTGGCAGGTTTTGTAAATGATGTCATCATTGGTTAATGAATTCTTATTTCAGTAAATTTGATTTTAAGCTCAACTGAGTTTGAAACATGTTAAAGTTAACAGTAACTTTATTTTTACCAGTGAAAGACTGTTGTAATGTGATCTGCACTTTCACCATATTGATATTCATAGCCGACTCATGTCTGCCAAAAAAAAGTGACAGCAGATTGCAATATAAATGTCTATTGCAAACATTATACTTACTGTATGTTTATTTACTATTAACACACCTTATTGTACGATTTTGAGACCATAGTTTACAATTTTAGAAGTTCGAGGGTAACCAGGTCTGCAATATTGTGTATATTTCTTAGTGGTTTTGAGAATCAGTACACGGTGGCGTGGCTCTGGTGGGGGTCACCAGCCCCCTGGCTACGCCACTATCAGCACACACACACACATTGTCATTTTGGTCTTTCTAGTCAAATTTTTATTTTTGTAAGTTAAATTTTTAACATCCTGGAAGAAAAAAGATCCCATCAAGTAAGGACATTCTTTTCATAAAATGTTCCTAAATTACCATTTTGTGAAAATGATTTTCTATCATATTGAGAAGCTACAAAGTCAATGTGCTAATCAGATTTTGAAAGCTCGTCTTAAATTCAATTCTGACTGAAAGAATCTCATGATCTATGATATCTGTTGTATAGAATGGATTTATTTGAAGCTCCATGACACTGCTACATGTGAACCCTGTCAAGGTAGCCCTTGTTACCTTGCTGCATGTGAACCCTGTCAAGGTAGCACCAGTAAGTAACCTTGGTCAGTCTCATTCTCTGATGCCCTTAGTAATGTGGATACATTAAGATTGATAATAATAGCCTTGGAACATGCATTGTTAATAAATAAGTGGTCTGATTGACTTTTGAGATATCATTTAAAACACAACAATGCTATTCATTCCTATTATTAATGTGCAATAGATCCTACTGGATTCTGGTGATGACCTGCATCAGATATGCAATCGGTAGTTACGTTGGGGGTCAATGAAAGCTTTAACTTACCTTTCTGAAACGGCGACATTGTGCCAGTCATGACTTGATGGCGTGGATCAGGGGATTCTTGACCTAATATTTGATGGGATTGATCAGCTGATTGATTAGATCGGAGGCGTCAGCTGTTGACTCATTGAGCTCACCAGGATCTCAAGCATGCAGCCATCGCTCATGGGTTCACTGGAGCGTTTTTATCTAGAATCCAGTTTTTAGTCTTTGAAATAGCGTGGCCATCTTTATTTTTATGTTGTGGTCAGTTCATAAGTAAATACGAATTTATTTTCAAGTGCTTCTTTATAACAGCACTGAATGTCTTTAAACATTTATAACTTTTTAATCCCTTCTTAAATATGTTTGCATGGATTTTAAACCAACCAGTATCACAGTGTAACTGAAGCCAGAAGAAAAAAAGCCATCATTGTGGGAAACATTATTTTATTGCCCAAGAAATTTCTCATATCTTCCCATATCTTCCCATATCTTCTCATATCTTCCCATATCTTCCCATATCTTCTCATATCTTCCCATATCTTTTCATCTCTTCCCATATCTTCTCATATCTTCCCATATCTTCTCATCTCTTCCCATATCTTCTCATATCTTCTCTATGAAATTCTTTTAACTATAACAAAAACACCCAAATCTTAAGAATACTCAAAAGAAAGATTTTTAATCTACTTTCGTCCTTGTCTTAGTTGTATAATTGTTCCACAGAAGTCATCCAACCATAACAAACATTTATTTGCTCTAATATTGTACCCAAAAGTATGGAGGAAGTTGTATTTCAACCACTTTGTGTTATAAAATTGTTATTCAAGATGAGTGGACTATAAAATGTTATGATTTCATTGTGTCACGCCAACCTCTCTTAAGTGTTGTCATACATGGACAACACCCTCAAGTCAAGACATAATATTTTTGATGTCTCGTGTGTTTAACTCTCACTTGTCATTTGAATCAAATGATTAGCAACAGTCAAATCGTAGTCTTCAATGTGCATCATTGTATTTTTTAATTTAATTTATAATAATTATTTCCTTCTCTTATTGTGTGGATGTTCTAGGGTCCTGGTCACCTACCCATGGGTCGCTACCCCATTTGGGACTGCAGGGGATTTCTGTGGGTCACCTACCCATGGGTCGCCACCCCATTTGGGGATGCAGTTTCTGGCTGCAACAGTGAACTAACAAATGAGGATTCTAAAGCAATTGTCATGTTTAATTGGTGTCTTAATACTCTCATTTGTTTCTCTTCTTCACTTACCATCAAGTTACAATGTCAATTATTGCATTAAATTCATCCTACATTGATGTATGAGAGGCTTCAATAAAACAGTTGCACTGTTGACTTTACTTCTGTCAAATGGGGCCGAGACTCGGGTGGCCAACCCATGTTCTAGAGGTTGTATTAGTAAAAGACCTTCTTTGCTCATATGGTCTCTCTGAACTGTCAACATGTTAAATGGCAGAATGACCCTCCTTGCCCTATTCTCTCATTCATTTATTTGTTTAACTTGTTCATTCTTTTAAACTTTTAAAATAAGAAAATAAAATGTAGAAATATTTTTTTGGTGACTCAAACAAGCTTTTTATCTCCCATTTTGTTATCTCCCATTTTACTATCTCTCATTCTCCTGCTTAACAGCGACAGAACATTATATGGGTTGTTGAAATACAAATCAGCAGTATAGAAATATGGGTCTATTTTTTTTCCGTCCATGAATATATGCACTGTGTTTCACACCCAAAGAAGTTTTATGATAAGCCTAGTCATTTGATCCGACAAAGAAATAACAATTACAACTGTTGTGTATAACAATGTTATCTGACACCCTTTATTTTAACATCTCTTTCTAGATATGTCCAGTTTTACTTTTCTGTCCAACTGTAATCCTAACTTATGTTTGGGTCTTAAATAAAGGTATCACTTCTTAGCTCCACATCACACTTGTTCCAAGCTCAAACAAAAATTTCAAGATTTCCACTGGGGAGATTTTGATGCTCATCAAATCATAATCATAGATGGGTACTCTAGTCTGCAACCGTGACCTCCAAGGATTCAGAGGAGGTCAATCTCTGGATCAAAGGTTGAACCTTGAACCTCCAAGGATTCAGAGAATCTCAATCTCTGGTTGAAACACCTCAGCCCGGGCAAAATCTTTCATATGTTTTAGATGATCATTTGGACAAGTTGTGGTCAATGCCAGCCATTGCTCTAATTGTGGACACCAAATGGCTGACCAACAACAAAGTGAATTCTCAATGGTTTATAGTTTCTGTTTGGGGGGGGGGGGGGGGGGGGGGAGAGATTTGTTTTTTATACTATTTTAATGTTACTCAAATTTCCATTTCTCTCCACTCCGATGTCTATTCCATTCTACATTGACATTGTCTTGTTTATCATGTGAGACACTATATGTGTTCTAACTTGTCTAGTATTTATTTGTTTAATGTATCTAAATGACATAAGTCTATGATTTATTGCCTAACATGTTGTAACGAATCAAGTGGGGAGCTTTATGTATAGAACTATCAAACCCCAAAAAAGCTTGAGAAAAGACCAAATGACCAAATTGGTCTAGATCCCACATCAATGGCCAGAACAACTGGAAAAGCCAAGATGAAACAACAGAATAGTTTGTAGAAGAAGACTCTTACCCAAGTTACCCTCATCACTTTTTTTAATGTTGTTTTGTCTTTTCTCAATCTTTCACATATAGTTTTTTTTTTTTATACTTTCCTTGTGTATTGCCATGATAGTAATAGTAATGTAATATTAGTTGGTCAGTCCGCTTGCAATGTAGGTTCAACTAAAAGAGCTTGAGACTGACTGTCTTTCTAAGCATGTAATGACCAAGGACTTGGAAATTAAAAAATGTAAGCAAATTGGCAAAGATCTTGGTCAAATAAAGCTTGTAGATTTTATTTTGTAGACAATACAGACATCCCCAAACAGCACTTTTATTTTGCCATAAAGACAAGGCTCACCTTAGATGTCAATATTTAGCTGTTACAACATATATATTGTTGTTATGGTGTAAGGTCACGTTCAAGGAATTCTTCACTGGGAAATACACTGAGGTCTTGTGCCGCTGTCTTCCACTGACGTCAATATCACAGAAATAATTTCTCATGTGTTAGAGATCTTCCAATAGTTTTACTTTTTAGTTTTCTATATTTTAAGTTAAAAAATTCCTGCCAGCACCATTTGCTTGACAGATGCCAAAAATAAATATCACTAAGGACTTCTTACAATTACATCATACAGTACAAGTAGGCTTACTTCCATGTTCAGCTAGTGGCAACTATAAATTCGAGCAACACTTAGAAATAATAACATACATGGAAATTGGCTTTACCTCATTTTTGTCATGTTAGCATTGACTTTGTCCATTTTCCTCATATCGGTTGACAGTAAGAACTGCTATGTGTAAGTGCTTGACAACTTGATCTCATCAAGTCAAAATGCATGCAGATGAAGATGTTTAAAAAGTCTCTAATAGGAATTGTTAAAAAGTTACTATCATCGTTTTACTGTTATTAGTTACATCAAAATAGCTCTATCAGCTTCCTATAGGTTTAATTTTAATCCAATATTTCTCAACTTTCCTATCCCATTATTATATTACATGAATGTCTGATAGTATTAAAGAAAACTTTATTTTCCAGCCAGTAAGTAAAGTTTTTATTTCATGAAATTTTATGATGTACATTGTGTTATTGGGAGATGTTTTTAGTTCAATTCCCTGGGCGCTATGTTGAGCCCATTTCTTCCACTACACCCCCTTCCCTCCCCCAATATTGTACAATTATGTACGGTACACCAGTGATGTTGGTATGACGACCATTAATTTTTCTTTAAAACAATTTGTATACAATAAATGTTCCAGTTTTTCCACAAGCTTTGTCTAAGA